CTTGCACTTCCAGCATTTACCATCTAATCGATCATATATCCGTGCTAATCTTTCAGGCGATAGGTACCAGCGATGGATTACTTTATAGACATTCTCTTTCAGAGTTGTGGCTTTCAACTCTTTGTCGACTACAAAATTTATGCATCCATTCTGGCACAGCGTATGAGACAGGTGTTGCAACATCTGATACACCCAGACCAGTCAGGGTTTTTGCCCAAAAGGCATTTGAGACATAACATTAGGATGATCTTAGATGTTTTAGAACACAGTTCGGATGTTAAGACAGTGGGATATACCTCTTGCAGTGTCTCTGGTGATAGAAAGTGCTGTCAAGCTGCAGTTGACTTATGGTGGCCCCAAAGGGTTTTCAAGGTAAGAGAGGGCCAGAGGTGGTTTGCTGCTGCCTGTCTCTGTGTAGTGACCCCGGACTGTCTTGGTGGTCTCCCATCCATGTACTAACCAGGGCCGACCTTGCTTAGCTTCTGAGATCTGGAGGATCGGGCGCAATACCTCTGCCATGACAAAAAAAAAAAAAAAGCACCCCCATCCAACTGTTTCTAGCCCTGTTAGGATGGGGAGGGTTAGTTTCTTGTATTGTTTCCTGTATTGTGCCTATCTTATTTTCCATTCTGGGTCTTTGAGCAACCTGAGGGTGTCAGTTTTGATTAAGGAAATGATGTGGGGGCAACGAATTAAACCCCCTTCTCTCAGTTTGCAGTGCTGATCCATACCAGTCGTCCCCCCCCCCCCCCGGGGTCTGTAATTACAGAGAACCATTCATTTGGGGGGGAAGCCAGATAGAATTACGCTTTCCCTGAAAAGAGCAGGTGTGCAGCTTGGAGTTTTCGATAGACTTCTCTTTGCCTCTTTGACTAGTTTAGCCTGGTCCACCAATTGTGTCTCTTGCTGGAACAAAAGGATGCTGCTGTCGCCATTCATGCTTTGGTGAATTCTCGATTAGGATACCACAATGCATGTGATGCTGGTCTGCCCTTGTAGACTATCCAGAAACAGCAAGTCAGTCCCAAATGCTGCTACTTGGTGGTGGTGGTGGTGGGGATATACACACATTTTTCTCTGAGAATGACATTGGTTTCCTCTGCGTTTTGGGGTATGGTTTAGGGTAGTATTGACCAAGCTTGGATCAGGGAAGAGCCGAAAACTGGGAGCTGCAAAGGAAATCAGTGAAACTGACCAGGCTTTCTCTGAACCCTGTCGATTTCACAAGCCATGGGTGAAAGGAGGCTGGTAGAATAACTGCCACCAAGCAAATTGGGCAAAAATAATTCTTACTGGTGGTGGAATCTGCCATCAAGTCACAGCTGCTCTATGGTGATCCTGTAGGGTTTTCAGGGCAAGAAACATTCAGAGGTGGTTTGCCATTGCCTCCCTCCAAGTCATGACCCTGGTATTCCTTGGTGGTCCGTCATCCAAATAGTAGCCAGGGCCAACCCTGCTTAGCTTCCGAGATCTGAGGAGATCAGGTTAACCTGGGCCATCCAGGTTGGGGCAATTTTTACTAGAAGAAGAAGAGATTGGATTTATACCCTGCCCTTCACTACCCAAAGGAGTCTCAGAGCGGCTTACAAACTCCTTTCCCTTCCCCTCCCCACAACAGACACCCTGTGAGGTAGGTGGGGCTGAAAGAGCTCTGACAGAAACTGCTCTTTTTAAGAACAGCTCTTATCAGAACTACGACTTGCCCAAGGTCATTCAGCCAGGTGCAAGTGGAGGAGTGGGGAATCAAACCCGGTTCTCCCAGATTAGAGTCCGCACACTTAACCACTACACCAAACTGGCTCTTCAGTTTGTGGATAGGAAAGGCAGGTTAAATATGGGGGGGAAGCCATTCACAAAAGCATACAACTGTTTCGAGGACGGCAGGCTGAGGTCTAAGAAAGTGTCTGTTCATAGGTGATGCATGCGAACTGCAGGAAGGTTGAGAAATGCCATTGCTAACCCAGTAGCCTGCATGACTGATTTTAAAAGCCACCTACAAGTGCATTTTAAAACTGCATTTCTGGCTTTCGGTGCAGGTTCAATAGCATGAAATCTAAGAACCGGAAGCTACACCTGAGAGACAAATGTACATCCAGAAGTTCTGACAGCAGTTTTTAAAAATACAAGCCAGCTCTGGGGAGGGGATGGTTTTTGATGTGTGGGATGATATAAAGGGGGTGCATAATGCCTTCCTCCCTTTCTGTTTTTCGGCTCAGAAAAAAACCCTGCCCCGCCCCTGAGCTGCATTCCACCTTGTGGATGTCCATCCATTCTCCTCTTCCTGATAATGAAACGGTGTACACAGGAAATCCAAGCTGTCCCCTAGCCTGGCTTTATCTAGCTTCAAAACTTTTTATCCAAAGGAGCGGTATAAGCAAACAGATCGGGTTTGCCCAGGGAACCAAATCAGAACGGTGCTTTTAGAAGAAGCTGGGAATCGAGCAATGTGCAAAAGAACATTAAGGGTTTTTGATGACACCGAAAAAGAGTGTCCAATTAAGGTTAGCTGAGAAGAGTTTTCGGTCTAATTCGAAATCTTATGTCCCATGAACATGAATTTAAGTATTGTGGAGGATGGGAAAAGTCTGAGTGTGGATGAGTGTAATTTAAGTGTGTGTGTTTTTTAAAATCCTCTCTAATAGTCTGACCCTTGGCAAGCTATATTTGGTGCGTGCCCTGCGGGCCCGGCTTCAGTACCCTCCTAATCTGTTCCTACCCGTCAACTGCTGTTATCCATAAAGAAGAAATGCACGCCAGAAACATAAATGAAAAACAAAGACCATTGTTGTTCCAGGTGTCGCATATCGCACCGAACAGGGTTACGGTCTTTCCGAGGGAAGGGTGGCCTCTGGGAGAACTCTGTGGCTGCAATTCTGCTGTCTGTCCATGTTGGATTCTGTTTTTCCCCACTGTTGCATCTGGGGTCTATTTATTCCAGGCATCTGAGCTGAAATGCTGATAAGGGAGTGCCTTGGAGAACAGAGCTGGTACAGACACAGACGCCAGAATGGGGGGGGGGGGGCTTGGCTCACCGCTGAATTAAGGGTCAAGGCAAGCTCGGCAGGGAAGGCTGATTCTTGGCCTCCCGGCTCAGTGAAGGGTATCTGAAGGGCAGTGGAAACAGTGTTCTCTGGATGGGACGCTGGTGCTCAGGACGCTAAGTGGGCTAATTGTGTGAGACGAGACCCTGAAAGGTTCATAATCCAATCTCTGCTGGAAAATGGCAATACTTGGGGGGGGGGGTTTGAATTAGATTAGGGCTGTGATACAGAGGAGGGGGAGTTTAACCCTTTCCCTCGTGCCGTGATCCAACAGTCAGTCCCTACCTCAAACTGCTATTTGCCCCACTGGGTGAAACATGTAAGTTGCCTGTTTGCTTTGAGATGGCCTAGCATAGTGTTTGGCGCAGGGGTGGCCGAACTGTGGCTCGGGAGCCACATGCGGCTCTTTCACACATATTGTGCGGCCAGGGCTCTTTTTGTAGAAAAAGCCCAGCAGGAGCTCATTAGCATAACAGGCCACACCCAACAGCAGGAACTCATTAGCATATTGGGCCACACCCGACTGCACAGCTCATTAGCACATTAGGCCGCACCCCCATGTTACCAGAAGTGTGGTCATCCAGCCACACCCACCTTTTGCGTCTTATTCTGTTTACCTTGTTTGTTGTCAAAACCCAGGGCCTTTTTTTGTAGCAGGAACTCCTTTGCATGTTAGGCCCCACACCCCTAATGTAGCCAATCCTAATGAGTTTCTGCTGTTGGGTGTGGCCTATTATGCTAATGAGTGCCTGCTGGGTGTGGCCAACTTGGGAACCAGCCAGAACTCCGTTCCTGCCCAAAAATAGCCCTGTGTGCGGCTCTCGGCAGGGCGGCTGGGGAAGCAAAGTGGAGGCCTATTTTTTCTCCCTCCCTCCCTCTCCCCCCCTCCCTCCCATCTATTTGCTTCCTTTGCTTCTCTCTCTCTTTCTTTCCACCTCTTTCTTTCTTTCTTTCTTTCTTTCTTTCTTTCTATTTTTGGCAATCTCCTTTAATGTTAATAAAAAGCAAATCTGCATATTTAAAAAAATTAAAACGTGAGTGTAACATTTGTTTCTGTCTTCCGGCTCTCAAACATCTGACGTTTATTCTATGTGGCTCTTACATTGAGCGAGTTTGGCCACCCCTGGTTTAGAGTGTCTCACTAGGATCTGAGATAGATCAAGATGGGCTGCCGTGTTAGTCTGTCCATAGCAGGAGAAAAGAGTAAGCGTCCAGTAGTACCTTAAAAAGTAACACATTTTGTGGCAGGGGATGAGCTTTTGTCAGTCACTGCTAACTTCTTCAGATACAGCTAGAATGGGAGTCCACCTGTCCTATATGTTGGAAACTGGAGTGGTGGCAGATGCCGAATGACATTAGCTAGCAAATGACAAAGAGCAGGTGAACGACAGTAGCAGGCAGGGTAGGATCTGAGAGGTTCAAATTGTCACTCAGCCGTGAAACTAACTGGGTGAATTCGGGATAGTCGTGTGCTCTCAGCCTAGCCTACCTCACAGGGCTGATCTGCAGATAAAAAGAGGAAAGGAGAACCTTGCCTGCTACCCCGAGGTCCTTGGAAGAGGGGTTGGGTTAAAGTGTGACAGACAGACAGATATTGACATTCAGTTTCCCTCACTGGGCCAGACAGCAGCTCCCAGGGCCAGGGGGGCGGTAGGGATTGAGGTGTGGGAACTGATGTGATGGTAAAGGGATAGTCCCCCATGTTCCTGATCCAAATTGCTGCTCCCCCACCCATAATTACTATTTAGCAATTAGAAATACATTAAAGGATCTCATCATGGATCTTCCGATGTTCTTCCTGATTTGACGCAGAGTTGACTTTCAGAGGAGCGTCTGTTCCCCTTTCATGTTGACCAAGAACATTCACCCACCTGGCTGTCCAGGAGGTTCTTGCCCTCTGTTTGAAGAAAGGCCGGTCACTTGGTGACTTTAAAAACAACAACATTCTTTTGGTTTTAGAGATTCCTAGAGAAATATGGCTACATGGGATCCACTCATCAAGGAACGCGACCAGCGGTGTTCTCGGAAGCTGTCCGGTAAGGCCTGGGGGGTTTTTTTGGTTCTATTATCACCACAGCCTTGAGGCCGGCTCTTTTTCCAACACTGCCACCATGGGCAAAGACCCACGGAGGGATTATGGGCCCCTACTCTGAAGCTTTGGCTGTCGTTTTAAAAAGAAGGCACCTTTGGACCTACCTGGTTTGTTTAGATCTGTATACCCTGCTTGTTCCCCGCTGGTAAGGACCCAAAGAAGCTCACAGTATCCTTCTTCCCCGTTCTGGTTTTTATTCTCACAACAACCTTTGAGGTAGGTTAGACTGAGAATGACAGGGCCAAGGTGACCCAGCAGGCTTCAGACCTGGACCTCTCAGATCCTTGTCCAACGCATACACCACACTGGCTCTCCCCTGTGACCCTTCTATGGAGTCAGGCCCTTCTGACTGGCAAGGGTTCCCCACAGTCTCCCGGCAGGGACCTTTGCCAGCATTGCTGAGACCCAGGGCCGGCCCCAGCTTATTTTGCACCCTAGGCGAGGATCCCTTCTGGCGCCCCCCCCCCTCCGTGCGCCCACCAATTTTCAAAAATAAATGCATTTTAGGAAGAATGAAAAACACAAATAATCAAGAAACTCCCCGAGTACGGGGCCGGGTTCAGTTTGGCGCCCCTAAGGGCCGTCCCGCTCTAGGCGATCGCCTAGTTCGCCTAGTGAGTGAGCCGGCCCTGCTGAGACCCATTTAAGTGGAAATGTCAGAGACGAAAAAGGGGATCTTCTGCATGGGAAGCTGGAGGTTGGCCACAGAGCTGCGGACCTTCCCTCAGGGGTTTCCTGACACTTTCTGGCTACAGGCCTCCTGCCAGTTCCACACCCAGAGAACCCATTCTCCCTCAGGAGTGTTATGCAAGAAAGGCGCCACCCGTGAGGTAACCATCATAACTCTGGCTCGTGGGGAAGTGGTTATGGTGTGTCAGACTAGGACCCCCACTCTGTCATGGAAGCTGGCTGGGTGACCTGACCTCCGCCCAGACTGACTGACCTCACAGGGTTGTTGTGAGGATAAAAGGGAGAAAGGGAGAATGTTGTAAGCGGCTTTGGGGCTCGCATCGGGGAGGGAAATGGTGAATTTTAAAATTTTATTTACTTACCTTATGTATAGTCCGCCTTTCTCACAGGGACTCAGGGCGGATTACACAGAGTGCGTGAGTACAGTCGATACAGTGGGACATTCAATAAGCAGTGCATTAGGATTAGGATTAGGGACTGCGGTGGCTCAAGTGGTTAAGATGCTGAACTGCAGGCTGTGGAAGGTCAGTAGTTCAGCAGTTCGAGACCCGAGTGTGCCGCATGACGGAGTGATCTCTTGTCTCTACTTCCAGCTCCTGCCAACCGAGCAGTTCGAAAGCAAGAAATTGCAAGTAGATAAATAGGTACCACTTCGGTGGGAAGGTAACAGCGTTCCGTGCGCCTTGGTGTTTAGTCATGCTGGCCACAGGACCACGGAAACGTCTTCGGACAGAGCTGGCTCTTCGGCTTTGAAACGGAGATGAGCACCGCAACCCTAGAGTCGGACTCGACTGGCTTTCGAGCAAGGGAGACCTTTACCTTTACTTTAGGATTTTAGAAGTCTGGAACCACCAGAAAGAACTGAAGCATAGCATCAGGATTAACATGACACATTAAGCTGTACAGGGCCCGGAGATGGGTAGCCCAGGCCAGCCCAATCTTGTCAGATCTCAGAAGCTGAGCAGGGCCGACCCTGGGCAAGTGCTTGGATGGGAGACCTCCAGGGAATACCAGAGGCGGGACGCAGAGGCAGGCAAAAGCAAGTCACCTCTCTGAAATGTCCAAGCCCCACTAGGGGTTTGCCAGAAGTCAACCATGACTTCCAGGCACACACACACACACATACACAAACACACACAAATACACAAATAAAGCAGTACAGAAATCACATAATGGGATCCTACATACCATAAACTATACACAGCAGTATAGACCCTGTAAAGGGTAAAGGTAAAGGTTTCCCTTGCTCGAAAGCCAGTCGAATCCGACTCTAGGGATGCGGTGCTCATCTCCGTTTCCAAGCCGGAGAGCCAGCACTGTCCAAAGACTTCTCTATGGTCATGTGGCCAGCATGACTAGACGCCGAGGCGCACGGAACGCTGTTACCTTCCCACCAAATTGGCACCTATTTATCTACTTGCAATTTCTTGCTTTCGAACTGCTAGGTTGGCAGGAGAGTATAGACCGCAGTCCCAATCATTTATCCAAGTAAGTTTGTGAACCATTGAAGAAGTGAATAAATACGTTTCTCCAAGATTTACCTGAAAGATCAGCTAGTTTTCCCGTTCCATGGTACTAGCTGCAATCATCCGTTGCAGCAAAAATACTCAAGCCTTGGATTCCAGTGTAAGCGTTTGTGGGCCAGAGTCCATTTCATCAGGCACACTTAGTGTGTCATCATCTCTAGGCAGAGGAAACTATTAGAAACAGCAGGATCAAAAGGCCGTCAGGTGCAAGAAGTACAAAGCGAGATGTGGGTAAGGAAAATTCAGATGTAATGAAGAAAAGTACAGAGAGCAATTGTGATAGCAGTGGATGGCGATCATGCAGTCTTCCGAGTTAACTCCAATAACAACTGAGGAATCCAAGGTTTTGTTAGCCAGTGAGGAAGGTGAGATAGATAGAGGAGAATGGGGGCTTAACTTTCCCCACCTGCGTCCCCTTCCCCCAACCATACCCCCCCAGCTGAGATTCTCTGATGCGTATTTACCGTATCTGAAGCACAATTGTGGGAAAGGGGAAACGGCAGGTGTACTTAACACCCCTCCCTTGGCTGCCATGTAATCTTACCACCCTTTATTTTTAAAAGATGCTCAGCAGAGACTTGAGCCCTTGGTCTCTGCCAAACATCTAATTTGGCCCGCAAACGTGATTCTTTGGAAGTGATTTGGCCCTTAGACGTGGAGCTAGCTTTGGAGCACAGGGAGAGCCTGTTCCCGCGGGCATGGTTTTGCACGCTGCCTCAATTGTTTCCCTTGTATGGCCGGGACTCCTCTTTGAGAGCTATACGAAAGCAGCGATTCGGGGCCAGCTGGGAGATTCCATAGATGCCATTGCTACATTCTGGATTCCGGCCATCTTCAAATACTCCCTCTGTTTTCTCTCCTCCTCCTTCCCTGCCTTCACTAGTATGGAAATCCGGCAGTCCCACAGTGATACATACATACTGCTCTGCTAGGAAATAGAAGATTGTTTATATATGGGTTACCAACTGACCAGCAAAGGGAAGAGACTGAATATTTTAAAATTTCAGTCCAGTGGCCTGAAGAACAAGGGGGCAGTACCATTTCCCTCTTCCCCTCTTGGCTTTTTTTTTTTTAAAAAAAATTAGTTTTCATCTTAGATTCCACCCCCAGCCCCCACCCACCTGCCAGAATGCTTTATTTTGAGAGCTAGTACTTGATTTCACGTCATGCTCTGTATATGATTGATCATGCTGTACTGTTCCAACCTACTCTCCCAGTCTGTGTTTCAACTGGACTGTCTTATTCAAGTGGCATCGAGGCCCCGTAGACCCCGATTAGAACAAATGGGAAGAACTCAAAACACTTCACAGCCAAGGTATGGGGGTGGGGTTCCAAATGACCCCAGCGTGCAGCCAGTTCTAATTTAACAACACGACAGCAACTTTTATGTTGAAGCAGAAGTTAAAATGCAGAAATGCAAAGAGCCCTTTGTTTTTAGCTCTTTTGAGTTTCTAAATTTGCTCACTTCCACTGCCGCCGGGCTAGAAATGAAGCTGCCTGCCTTGCCCAAAGTCAGGTCCTACAGAGCTAAGTCTGGACTGCTCTGACTGGCATGGGTTCTCCCAGGGCTTTTTTTGTAGAAAAAGCCTAGCAGGAACTTATTAGCATAACAGGCCACACCCAACAGCAGAAACTCATTAGCATATTAGGCCACCCCCCTGACAGCACAGCTCCTTAGCATATTAGGCCACACACCCCATGTTACCAGAAGTGTGGTCATCCAGCCACGCCCACCCTTTGCTTGTTATTCTGTTTATCTTGTTTGTGGTCAAAACCCAGGGCCTTTTTTTGTAGCAGGAACTCCTTTGCATGTTAGGCCACACACCCCTAATGTAGCCAATCCTAATGCGTTTCTGCTGTTGGGTGTGGCCTATTATGCTAATGAGTTCCTGATGGGTGTGGCCAACTTGGGAGCCAGCCAGAACTCCGTTCCTGTGCGTTCCTGCCCAAAAATAGCCCTGGGTTCTCCTGGGTTTCAGGCAGACCCTCTCATCCTTCCCGACACCCTCCTGCCAGAGATCATTTAAGTGGAGGTGCCAGGAATTTGCACCTGTGGGACCTTCTGCACACAAAGCCGGTGTTCTAGATCTGAGCTACGGCCCCTCCTGAATAAGTTCCGGTGGGCAGCCGTGTGGTTCTGCAGTGGAAGAGCAAGAACGAGGTTTATAAGATTATGCATTGAGATAGAGCAGGTAGAGAAAGAAGTCCTTTTCTCTCTTTCTCACGTTGCAAGAACTCGTGGGCACTCCATGAAATTGCTGAGCAATCGGGTTAGAACAGATAAAAGGAAGTCCTTCTTCGCCCAAAGAGTGATTCACACATGGGATTCACTGCCACAGGAGGTGGCGGCGGCTACAAGCACGGACAGCTTCAAGAGGGAATTAGATAAGCATCTGGAGCAGAGGTCCCTCAGTGGCTATTAGCCACAAGGTATAGATAGGAACTCCCAGTTTGGGGCAAGTGACACCCTGTATTCTTGGTGCTTGGGGGGGCAATAGTGGGGAGGGCTTCTAGGTCCTGGCTCCACTGGTGAACCTCCTGATGGCACCTGGTATTTCTGGCCACTGTGTGACAGAGTGTCGGACTAGATGGGTCATTGGCCTGATCCAACATTGGTTTCTCTTATGTTCTCATGTTCTAGTGGAGTCCAACAGCACCTTAAAGACTAGCAAGATTTCCAGGTAATAAGCTTCCAAGAGTATCTGATGACGGGAACGTTGACTCTCGAAAGTCTTATGCCTTGGACATCTTGGTCTTTAAGGTGTTGCCAGACTTCAGTCTTGCTCCTGAATAACTCTCTTTTTCATGACCACGTGAGTCTTTTGGCCCAGTTGTGGCCCAGTCCCTGGCATCCCCTCAGCAACACTCCCACTCCGAGACGCAGCAACGGCCCACGTGGCAATTATGCCCCCTGGTTCTCTTCTCTTCTGTTCCAGGGAATTTCAGCGGGTATCCCACCTGTCTCTCAGTGGCAAGCTGGATGCTTCCACCGTGCATCAGATGCGCCGTCCCCGATGCGGTGTGAAGGACGCAGGGAGTTTTGCTGCGTGGAAGGAGCGTGTGGATGCCCTGTTCTCGGGCCGGAGGGCAGAGAAGAAGCGCAGGAAACGGTACTCCCACCAAAGTATGTCCTTCTGGGGGGCTTGCAAAGACAGTTCGCCTGGGGCGGGGCCTTTCTCAGCTCCCCTGTTGTTTTAAAAGAGACCTTGATCTAAGGAACAGAGGTTTCAAAATGCAAGAAGTCAACCACGACTTCCAGACAAGCACACAAACACACACACACACACAATATATATATGTGTTATAGGGTCCCAGTCCCTCCTAGAATATATATTACAGGGGAAGTCTCCATTTAGTGCAACTTCTTCCCCCATTGACACCTCCACAGTGATTCTACAACCTGTGTCTAACAAGAATGCCGTTTTGTTGTTCTTCTTGTCGTTTATGATTAATGAAATATGTGTATCGAACATATTATTCAAAATAGGATAACATTCCCATTGGTGCACAGGACTCTTTACAATATAGCAATGCCGAGGGGAATGTTTTGAATGGTGCACCCATCTTTTTATTTATAGTTTTCATGGTTTTGACCAGTTCCACAAATAAGCTCCTTAAAAAGATGAATAGCATGTTTGCTGTAGCTTCCGGTTCTGTACATCCCTGCAAACGAGGCATTTACAGTGCTGCTGCTGAAAATCCAAATTCTGTTTGTTCAGATAGACTGCCTCTGTTTTGAAGCTCTTCTTACAAAATCAAACAAACATAAAAACACCCGACCACT